AAAAGATGAAAAGAAACGATACACAAATCCAAAAGATGAAATGGAGATAGAGATGAAATTGTGTATGTAAAACTAAACAGATAAAGGGAAACAGAAGGATGGAGAATGCAAATGAACACGAAAGGAAGAAGGGTACATGGAAATGCAGTTAAATGATAAGAATTAAAAATGAAATCTCGGAAGCATTCCACTCATAAGAGTTCAGATTTTAATGTTACAGAAATGTTAGATCAGAACGCCATTTTAACGAAAACGATGTAGATCAATATCCTACTTTTTTTAAAATAGTAAATGAGAATTTTAAATGCAAAGAGAGCATTGGACTTTAAAATTACTCAGTGATAATGCTTGTGCAATTAGAACGTCACTGTCAGTTGATTCAAGTGCTGATTTTAGTTTGGTAAGGGGATGCATCTAGAATAGTTACGAATTGATACAGGCGGCATATCGACAGAGGTTTCGGAATTGCCAAAAGAAAATAACCAAATCCATGTCAAAATTCATTTGGAAAAAGAACAACTCTTTAAAAGTGTGCATGTAAAACGATTGATAAAGATGACAAACTTAGATTAATAATAGTAATCGAAGAGTTCAAGAGCTGAGGCGAAATATATATCAAAGTTTAACTTGGTAAACAAACGATACATACTTTAGCAAACGTTGCTAGTAAGGTGACCAATATGGCTTGGCTATTAAAGATTTATTAGTCATAATGATTTCCACATAGCAAACGGTGGGTACGAAGTAAGCTCCGCCACAGTAACATACTTGCAAATTTCAGTATTTTACAACCTCTGATAAGACTGGTCAGAAATATATTTTTCCTTCATATATTTATTCTAAGAACTTTTGTGGGGTGGGGCATTATGTTTAATTCCTACAAAATGATCAACAGAATAAAGATAGAGCAGTTCCTAATACTCTTGATCCATAGGTCAAGGGCATGGCCATGTATTGGAAACAATACATTTATGGGGAGAGGTTCAGTATCACGGAGTTGTGATTCCTCCAATCCTATCCATTTTATAATATCAAGTGACTCAAGAGATTTTCAGAGTCTTGTATTATCAGGTCTTGTGTCATTGCTTTAGAAGTCTTCCTATTCTGAGCGTTTGCTTCTTCATGACGTGCAGGGCAGTTTCAATAAAATTGCTTTTCATAATGACTTGCGCTGTAAACTCCTTGCCGATTAATGGTTTTTGCTAATTGCTGGCAATAAATTAACTGGAGATAATGTTGAGGTTAATCCACCAGTAACTCAAACCCATTGTTGGTATAAAACAGTTGATGCTATTGAAAATACTATCCCCAATTAATACCCTGTTTGTCCAGAATCAAGTTGATAAGGAAACTATTTATTGGAAAGCAAAGATATTGGTCAGTCTTTAGACGAGGTCAAGATTCCTGCTATTACTGATCAAACAAAATGTATTGATGTATGCGATCATATTTTAGGTAGCCGTTCTATTATTTCGAATCAGGGTGACAAATAACTTGGAAAGTGAGCATGTTACCGTTATAAAAAGAAACGCAGGTAAATAAAATAATAAAGAAGAAGCCAATATTTATGAATTTGTGATACATGGGTAGAGAAATGAACGTTTCTACAATTATCATATTAAGTTCTTTATCGACTCATGCAATAAAAGATTTATTTGCACTGCTGCTGTCCTTATTGTTCTGTTCCCTGTATTTCTTCCTGCAACGTCAAGTGTTTCCTTGTCAACAACAAACAACTAATTGGTCAGATATTCAATCAAATTATTTCTTCTGTTTCGTTTTCCGGTGCGTTACAGCAAACTTAAGTTTTGCACCCTTGTATATGGAAATGATTTCTTAGTGCACGACAGACTTTAAACACGTTGTTTGTTGTTTATGAATCACACAGAGGGATCTTTATGAGAGCAACGAAGACGGGAACGAAAATTCACACCTCAGCAATGGCAATACAAAAAATGTGGATATTGACTCTTTGTTTGTTGTCGGTGGCATTAGTAACAGGTAATTATTAACAAAATGTTAAGAAGCATTATGGGATGTCAGACGATAAAAACCTTTCGAATATAGGCACATCCTCAAATTATTCTTGTTGGCACAGGCATTCACTTTGAAACAAAGAAAATGTAAGAGTATCTGCTATTAACTCCTTTAATAAATAGCTAATAGATGGCACATTACTTAAGGTAAATGTGACAAACATTCACACTTTACAGTGATTAGTTAAATCAGTTTTAAGTTTCTTCTCAAACTCGGTTCATTCTTAGAACCATTATACTGCAACATGGGAAAGTCACCTCACCATGTATTCAATATTTTCTTCATTCGTTTATAGTGGCGTTGTTAGCTATATTGGCGATATTTATTATGGGGATTCATCAATATGATCACTAAAACCTCATCATGAAAAACGGTCACTTTTACATGTATTTCACACTTCACTCTGTGTACCTAAATCGTGTCTTTAAAGTTTCTGTCACACTGTGTTCATGGGCGAATCATCCAACTTGACACTGCGATATATTACTGACTTAGGCTATATACTTATCTTTAGCGTATGTTAGGACACGTGCATGTCACCCGAAAGATTTCCTGATACGTCTGGAGACACAAAATTTGGTGATGGGTACTAAACCAAGATGAAAATGTAGACCATCGTGGAGTATATTCCACTCTTCACTGACATAGAAACTTATGTAGACTGTTTTCAATTTGTTTATGACCAGATATGTTTTGCTGAGTTCTGAATGTTATACATTAATCTAGGCATTTGTTTAGAGGGTGTTTATTGATGAGTAATATATTATCTTCTTGAAAGAATTTTCACTGAGATTAATATTCCATATTTCACTGACCTTTGTTAAATTCTGAATTTTACTTTTAATGCTTGAATTCTTAAACTAGATTATGACATAAATAAGATTGATACCATACCTTTCATGAAATTGCTAATGTTTCCTAGATTTCATATTTACTGATTCGGTATGGTCTTGGCCAATATATTAAGACTACATATTTTGGCACGCTTCATATCCTATCTAGAATACCACAGTGTTGGTTAGGGATTTGATGAGAGATGTTCCTTCGTTTCTGTAGCACGTTAATACTGTCCATTAGTTTCACTTGAGGTATTGACTTCTGTGTACACCGCAATTGCGAAACTTTTCAATTGTATCGTTGTTAGAGCTTCTCGATTATAACAAAGGCAGGTCGATGCGACTTAAGTCTATGATTGCATCACTTATGTCTTTGTTTTATGTAAAAAATATAGAATTCGTTGGTATGTACATTTTGAAACTACTCAGAATGTTCTTTCTAACAAGTGAACTTACAAACTGGATTCTTCCAGACCAAAATTTTTATCGGTAATAGTTACAATGTGTTAATTGTGATCCGAAGTCGAGGACGATATGTTCTTCTTACCGAATAATAAATTCTTCGTACGTTAAGATCTGATATGAATCATTTGTCCTATTGAGGTATCCAGTTTTTCATTTTGGATGTAGTTAATTTATTCAAGTTATTTCATTTATTCTTCTCTGTAAAATAGAACACTAAACATTGAAGTTCTTTGAAAAAGATGGTTGAATTTACAGTAAACTTTTAAGAAAGATGTATTTTGGACTTTATTATTATGGCTCAATAAAAAATACTGCTAGCACATGATCAGACTTATAATTATCAGGACGTGTTCGAAATTCTTTGATTATTTTGTATTTATTTCGCAATACTGTAGGTTCATTACAAATTTTTCACTTTCTATTCATTTTTTTGTTTTTTGTTTTTAATTTTACAAAACTTGTTGCTTCTCGATCTTTTCACTTGCTTTTCTTAAGTGACAAGTTGTAATGGAGAAAATTTATATCTGCTTTTCATAGCAAAATACATTTCAGTTTTAGATATGGAGTATGAAAAAGGCAATAAATGAACAAGTGACAGTGCAATACATATTTAGAATTTATTTCGATGTTTACGGATAATGAATGCTGTATTCCTCTTGAGTTCTTTATAGTAATTATATTCAACTTTAATTTTTCCTTTGCGATGCGATGAATAATTACCTTTTTATTAATCATGAAAGATAAAGGGTATTTTGTGTTCATCGTAGTGACGGCATCTATTTTCAATATACAGAATAATAGTTTTTAAAAACTTTGACATATTATATGACATTGGCATCATTTAATAATAATAATAATAATAATAATAATAATAATAATAATAATAATAATAATAATAATAATAATAATAATAATAAAATAATAATAATAATAATAATATCTTAAACAACGATAATACTAGTCTACGAGTAATTTTATTGTAATGTTAATATTAACAAAATCTGTTTTTATTTACAGAGAGCATACTGATTGAAAATAAAACATACATAGTATACGCAATGGCCCAAAACATTTTACATCATGTATCATTAAAACATGGGCAAACCATGGGAACTTCATTTTTCATCACAGTTAAAAAGGAAAATGAAACGCTTCTTGATACGTTCTTTGATGGTGTTCCAGCCAAGGAGCAGGAAAAGAGATTGTTAATAAAGTACAACAACAGCACAAAAGAAATAGCTTTATTGTTCAACAATATTAGCAGAAATGATGAAGGTTTGTATCACGTTTCAACAAGTATGTACCAATCTGAACGTGATGATTCAAAGGAAATGGAAAATAAGTGGAATTTCCAACTAAACGTTTTAGGTAAGCAAGTAATCCGTAATGATGAATTCAATTTATGAGTATGTTAAAATATGATGACAAAACATTGATGTTCTAGAACAAAAATTCCTTTTCTAAAAAGCGTATGGAATGATTGGAGCGGTTTTTTCACGTGCTGCAATTGCTAATAAAACACACCACATTATGTACGTACATATACTTGTCATACATTTTGAGGGTGTCATAGATAAAGGACACATTAGTATGTTTTGTATGGTTATTGTGCACAATTTATGCATTATTTTTTTTTCACCTCCATTTTTTACAAGACAATTCAACTGCTCCGGTAGCTTGGTGGTTAGAGCGTCTGCCTCAGTTGGAGGAGGTCGCGGGTTCAAATCCCAGCCGAGTTATACCAGAGACTTAAAAATGGTATTAACAGGTGCCTCGCTAAACGCTCAGCATTAAGAGGTTAGAGTTAGGATAGGTCGGCCTGGTGTTACGAAAATGTGACTGTCACGCTATGATGTCGCATGACATACTAGTATGACCAAACTACATGTCTGCGGCATGATCCCCAATGCTTGTCCAAATTGTCAACATTCTAAATCACCCAGACGCATATGTGCCTACGATCTGTTAACTGGCACATGTGGTTGAGCATATTCTAAAAATAAACGTCAAAACATTTTATTTGTTGTCACATGTTTCGGTTGGACAACTGCATTTTCGTTTAAATTGCGTTTCAGTTCATATACAAGATATTGAAGTGTATATCATCTTAAAGTTGTTAAGTGAATAGAATATCTTGTTGATAAAAAAAGTCTAATACACTTGTTTCACATTCATAAGTGTTACCCATATATCATACTCCTCTAAAGTTTGTTTGTTTTTTGTTATATTTTAATCACCTCTCAATTATTTTTACTGCTATAACATATTTTAGGTAAAATTACGATAAAAGGGTACTTTAATGTAAATTAGTATTAGTTCTGTATTTAATTCCTTAGAAATAAAGTTTAAATACTACTTCATCTATCAATTATTGACTGTCGGCAATAAGCGTTGCCTATATTACAAGTTACATAGGTCATGCATTAACATTTACGCTATTTTAAATTAAATATGAATTGGACCCTTTAGAATTTAACACTAAATGTCTTTAATCAAAGTCTTTTCAATCCCGATTATCGAGTGATATGTACCTTAACTGCCACCAACAAACTTCCAACAAAAAATTGAGCATTGTTATGGCTTTTACTGTCGTGGCCATGTATCAAACTTGAGTCAAAAAAATAAATATCGTGTCAAATCGTCATAATCGTGGGTTGCACAATTTTTTTTATTAATATGCGTAGCGTGATTGCAACATCATAGCGTTCAATGCTGGTTGTACTGGATCACACATTTAGGTTCATTCGTCCATTAATGTCTAGTTACTTTAACATTTCTTTTGGGCGTCTATATAATGACCTTGAAAAGGAATATGAATGTATATGAAACAGAATGAAGTGAACACTTCCCTCTTAAAGGTATGTAAATTACATTCTAAAAACTACAATATTACTGAATTAGTCAGTGTAAATGCCTACGTGAGCGTCTTGTACAATACTAAAAGTCACCTGCATTAAAGAACTTTAAGAAACATTTTTCTAAATTGCATCTCTTCAATTTTTAGCATATGAGAGAACCGCGATATAGAATTCTGAGATATAGGAATGATAATCCCTCCTGTTACTATGAACACAAAATTTTGCAACTGATGCGTTTTCCCCTTTAGTATAATTTTTGTATCATGCCTTATATATATATTTTTTGTATTCCTTAATATCTATACAAGCTGGTTGTATTTATAGTTTTAACACATGTGAAGATAGAAATGTAGAGGTTTACAAACGCAACGTTTTTGTGTTTATTTGTTTGTCGTAACTATGTTTTGTATTTGCCTTTGAAAAAGACTCATTAAGAGTCGAAAGCGCTTAGGCTAGTTAGTTACTAGTTTCGTACTGTTCGTCGTCAGTTTATTGCATCTATTTTAATTAATCCCTGACAAACGTGATCCCTTGGTGGATCCAGTACGCTTGAGAGGGTTGTTATTCGCCATATGATTTGTATTCTTTATATATATATATATATATATATATATATATATATATATATATATATATATATATATATATATATATATATATATATATATATATATATATATTAGTTTTTGTTCTATTTAGATGCAGAGAGTAAGCTATTTTATCTCCTGCCAATCACCACGGTAGCTATCGTCGTTACAATCGCATTCGTCTTTACATGTTTGATATTGATTCAGTGGAAGAATACCAGTAGTATAAAAGCAGGTATAAGCAATATTTTTTTATTGATGTTGTGCTCGTTTTACTATAGATATAATTGTAACAAGGACATAAAGAATGATGAACTATGTGGACAATGTTTAATGACCAATGAAAACATAATCATTTAACTACCTCGTGTATTAATTTTATATGAAGTAAGTTTCTTATCTTTTGCAACAATTTTCACAATGCATTTATTATTCTACGTATATTTTGTTTTAGTGACATATCTTTCCCATGATAAGTCTGTTTTATGGCAGAGCTATTCTCCACTAATATTCAAAGAAAGGAATTGTTTGACGTAATTCTATTTTAACCTAATTTACTGTAGTGATTTATTACCATTTTTTATTATGTTTGATATTAAGGAGGAAGTATCAATTTAATCTGGATGAATATAACTCTATATGTCCTTCATTAATATGAACCATTACATTATCTAAGGATACAAGAATGTCTTTTTTAATCAGACAATTTCAACCTTGCTTTCTTGTTAAATATCGTTTCCTTGGCAAGTGTCTTGATTTAATGTTTGGTCCAAGTAAAGTGGTATGTAAATAAGTCTACAACGGAGATCCGATGGTTTGAAAAGTACAGTAGTATAGTTTTTAAGAAAGCACGATCTTATTCTTTGTTGTTGCAGAACAATGTATTGTACACGAAGATTTATATTTGACACCTATCGCAAAAGAAAGACCTCTGCCGACACTTCCAATTAAAGAGAAAACTACAGGTCATTCAAACATTTCTCAAAATAATAAATCATGCTCAATCACATCGTCTCTAGGTGTGACTCAAATACTGTCAATGAATGGATATGAGGTAGTTGATATTTCAAATAATGATGATTCACAACGTACACCGGAGCAAGAAGAAATCACGTACGAGACGAGCGGAAATCTTAACACATCTTTAACTGATACATCCGGGTATTTAACAGTGCTAGCAGCAATGGAGACAACAGTTTGAAGTGAAAACGTTTCTTTAACCATTGAGCTTCTGTTTTATTAGGCGAATGAAAATTCAACAATTTTCAAAATGTTTTAAAGCCTTATATATATATATATATATATATATATATATATATATATATATATATATATATATATATATATATATATATATATATATATACAAACTCTATATTATATATATACACATATATATATATATATATATATATATATATATATATATATATATATATATATATATATATATGCGAGTGTCTACTGCGCACGAGCTCATATAACACCGATTCAGTGCCACCATTTTTGGTGATGCGTGCTTAGTCGTGACGGTATATGGGCTGGTGCATGCAGGCAAGGCCATGGGTGTCATATACTTGCGGACCTGGGTTATATATATATATATATATATATATATATATATATATATATATATATATATATATATATATATATATATATCAACGATATAACCTTGGCATCATCGTTACAATTAAATTTACATTTCTTCATCCATTATTTATTACGCCTATTGCTAGAACGTGGACGCTCGTATTTCATCGGTCAATCACAAGAATAGACTGACAACAACGTTCACAATTATATGTTTGTAACTAAATTGTGAGGGTATAATTCGATTATTGATTTCCACTTAGACCATGACCAATAAATTCAAGGAAAAGTAAACCATGTCATCTGTGCAACATTCCTGTGACAAGGGGCGGTAAGGATACTGAAAAAATCAATAAGTTTATAAGAATGTTGTTACAAATTACTAGACTTTAACATTTAATATAAACAAACGTTTCACAACATGAACTTAGCGAACGTTATGCACCATTCAAGCCGATGTTCCTCACATACGAACAGGAAAACCATTGCCTAAGGTTATTTTGAAGTGGTGGGCAGAGAAGACGTAAAAGAAATACATTTTGTGTTGCTTGTTATTATCCTGAAGACTATTTGATCCCTCCTGTAGGAACCATGTGAAAAAGCAATAACGTTTTATTATTTTCAAATGTTTCTGAGAGCGAATGACGTGTTTAAGTCTAAAGGAAGGAAATTAAGCTACAAACTGTGCATTTACTGCATTGAAAGGAAGATTTTTTTTAGAGAGTTTTGAATTAGTTCTAAGGTAATCTGGCTAGCATGAAGGACATTCAAGACATACAGGACACACACGCTATTTGATTTTAATCTGAAGATTCTATACCTTTGAACATTTCATAAGATATATATAAATCTTTGGAATTTATTGCCAAAAACATAAGTGTCTATGGAATTATCGCTTTGTTTTCTATGTAAATTAAATACATGTTTAATTTTACCAACATTGTTCATTTGACATTCTTTCTGTTATATATGTGTTTAACACAAAGAGGTAACATAAATATTCAGATTCATTTTTTTTTACTATTTGCTCTCAAATACATCAAAATCTTCGAGTGGCACAACTTTTAAAAATCTCTTAAGTCTGATCAGAAACCCTTATCTTTTTAATAACGGAGATATTTTAAAAATAAACTGATACTTCATTTCTAACTCTTACGGGTTCTAACCTAGGTACAAAATCAAATGGAGCCATTAAAATGCTAAGATTTGAACAAAGTCAAAATCTAGATCTTGTATTGAAAGAAGTATGCTTTTGCTGTCAACAAACCACAGCTTAATGTTCTTTTTGGGTGGAGGTGAATTATTAACCAATTATGTCGAAATGTTCGATATCACGGATGATTCTACAAAGCAAATCCGTATTAAAATATCAAGGACAGAACTTGACCGAGTCCTATTTTATCGGGTAGTTTGCCTGTCTTAACATTACTCTCTATGCATTGTATCAATTTGGCATAGGACAAAGCCACATATTCTTCAAACATTTCAACTATGAAAATGCTTTCAAAAAACGTCTTTAATGTCTTATGAGAATAAATGTTTTTATCAAAGCTGATTGGGGGATCTTTCTAATCAAGTTGTCGGACTTGAAAACGTTGAATATAATGTTTGCTTAGAAAAGCACATCCATATAGTTCTGGTGTCAAAAACGTCACTGAATGTCAAAGAAAAAGGAATTTTCATATGTTTCAGACTTGGATT